ACAATAAAGATTAATAACTTACGTCGTAATTGGTGGACGAGGTAATGATCGTTTCCGATCCAACATTTCGCGTAAATCATCACTAATATTACTGCCCATTTGTGGTTGCGAATGTTGTCGCCAGGACATTCGTCTTAGACCGGGATTTTTTACGGAACTAGTCTTGAAATAATGATCTCGACTCTTCATGAAACTGTCCATTATTTGATCCAAACTAATTTCTTATAGCAATAACCAAAAATTTGATAAGTTATTTTTATAAAATCTGAAAAAAAAAGAGAAACATTATTATAAATTTAATAATTATAGAAAAAACAATTAATTAACAAGTTGACCAAAGTATTTGAGATAAAATTTTGCAATAATTGATCATTTACAATATATATTTGCTCTTTTTGCTCGAAACTAATTTGAAATGAATTAAAAGAAAATAACAAAAAAATTTCTAATAAAAATTATGTTATTTTAATACTGAAAAAAAATCAATTTTGTAAAATTTGAATTTATTTCATACGAAAATTTCTCATTTTGTTTTTTTTAAACATTCCTTGACAATATTTCTTTCACACAAATGTTTACTAAAGCAAAATTAATAATACTTGAATTAAATTTACAACAGAAAAGGGAAGGTATGGGAGGCGCAACTTATCACCAAAATTGGTTTTTCTTTTTTTTTTTCAAATATTGCTTATATTTTTAAATTATATTTCCCATTTGATCAAATATTTACTTCCACATTCAAACATTGTAACACTAATTGTTACATTCGTTTAAAACAAAATACTAAAAGAAAAGAAAAGGAAAAACGAAAAACAACGAAGGATTAAATTAACATTCTCACCTGAATTTTCATGAATATTTTAAAGTATGAATAATTTGATTGGAAAAAAAAAGCATCATTTATGTAAAATTTAAAGATCCATTATGATATAATATCATTTATGATTACGTAATATTTTTTTAGTTATGTTATATTCTTATTAAATTTTTTTTTTACTCTATTGCATAACTTATATGCATTTATAGTTTCAATTTAAAAATATTTCTTTTTTTTTAAGTTATCAATGTTCAAAATAAGGCAGTTGAAAATATTAAAAATTTTAGAGAATAAGGCGGGTAATTTGTGATAAAAATTATTATAGTTAGAGAGGACAAAAAGGAAGTTTGAAGTAAACTTGGTTAAAGCATCCTAAAGAAGTGGAAGTTTATTTTGATGAAGCATAATGAAGATCCTTCAAACACTCATACTGCCTTCTGACAATTCTTCATTTTCCAAATATCCGAAAAACAAATATAATGAAATGGATAAAGATAGCCATTAAACAGGAAATAAAAAAAAGAAAAAAAAAGGAAAAAGGAAAAAATTTATTAAAAATAGTTGGATTTAAGTTAATTTAAGTTTCTCTTTCTTTTTTTTTCTTCGTAGAGTTTCTTTTCTAATTTTATATTTTGAAATTAGAAGATTTCTCGAAGGAATTTATTGATTATTAAGAGTTATTTCGGAAAAGGAAGTTTAATTTAGTTGTTTAGTCAATGGCTATCTATGTATTGCATAATGCTATTAATAAAAACAAACACAAATTTTGAAACATTGCAATAATTTTTTGAAATATAATAATTAAAGTAACACAAACAATGGTAAAACGAAGCAAATTTTTTGAAATTTCAAAATTTTTAAAAAATGTTATTCAGGAAATGTTTGGAAATATTTTAGAAATTTGTGAAAAAAAGGAAAAAATAGGACAGTATTTAAATTTTCGTTCAAATTTCACTTTTTGTTTTTGTCTTTGTTTTTTGTTTTTTTTTTTCTATATCCATCATTTCCAACTTGGTATATATTACAAAATTTTGTTCTCTTCTTCCTTTTTTTTTGCACCACTCTCTCTCCCTCTTAGTAAAATAACAATAAACAAAAGGATTTCAAAAAAATTAACCAATTTTTTTTTTACATTTTCTATACAGCTAACATTTACATAATTAATTAAAGGAATTCTTTAAATTTAACAAGTTTCAAATTTACATTTACAAAATATATATTTTGCTAAATTTAGCAAAAAAGAAAGCCTAAAATTATAAACATGGCACTTTTTTTCTCTTTCACTAAACTGTCCAAATTAATTGTAATATTGTCCTGTATTAATCATTCGAAAGATATTTCCAATGATAATTATTAAAATTGGAAATTTTTTCAGTATTCTAGTCAAAACTTTAGATAATTGAAACTGTTCGATCTATAGAGTATTGGCGTTAACATTTGCATATGATGATTGAAATTATCAGAATTCATATGTGATAGTATTCGAGCATCGGTAAATTGTTGATAATTGTAAGCTGCAATAAAATAATCTGATGAAAATATTCATATTAATATTTAAAAAGTAAATTTCAACAAATTAAAGGAAATAAGCCAGTAATTAAAACGACAAATACATCATACGAGAAAAATTGTTTGTGTGCGTGTTTTTTTTTTTTTTTTGTGTCATCTGGAAAGAGCATTAATTAGCTGTTTTATTATTAAATCATTTTGTGGCATGAAAACGATTTTCTCATTAGCAATTGCTCAATTTTCATTTTATCAACATTCATTATTTAGCATCCATTAACGGATTAAGCAATTTTTCTTTCTTTAAGCAACGAATGAATGATGTTTAATATTTTTGTTATTTTTTTATAAAAATAGTATATGCCAATTGAATATGATAAAGTAACATAGACAACTAATTATGCAAATTACAATAGAATTAATTATCAATACAGGATAAGATAAATATGAATAATTGTTTTATAAAATTTTACAAATTTTAAAAGATTGCTAGCATTTTAAACCTTTTAGTGAGAAAAAAAAAAAAGAAAAAGGGAATGAAACATTAATATTAAATTCACTCATCATGGAAAAGCAAATATTTGAGGAGCAATTTGCGCATGTAAAAAAATCCGTTTCTTAAATTATTCGTTGAAATTTGAAACTGCAAAATGCAATCGAAAAAAAAAAAAAAGAAAAGAATTTCAAGCAAACATTGCAACATTCTTAAAATATTTTAAAATGTCATTTTTTAATTTGCAAATTTCATCAATATTCAATAATAAAATGCTAAAGATTTTAAAAATAAAATTGACAAATAAAAAAATTTGGTTTCTTTTTTCCTTCTTTTTTTTTTTTTTTTTACTTTGAACGATG